TTCATCACACTTGGAGTAAAATCTAACCTCCTTGCTGTACCCACAAGGCCTTTTGTAACCCTATGTGACCTGGCCCTGCCTCTCTTTGAATTTATGTTCTGCCCTCTCTTCCCTCTCCCTCACTCAGCTCTTACCACTCTAGTCTCCTTGTATTTCCTGAACATCCAGGTTCCTTCTCACCTTAACGTCTCTGCATTTGCTTGTTCATCTGCCTGGAATGTTCTTCCCTCAGGTCTTCACATGGTTAGCTCCTTAACAAAAGGGGCTTTTTCTGACCCTTGATGTGAAGTAGCCCCTGCTCAAGTCACACCTTCTATCATTTACCAGGATTCATTTTCTTCACAGTGCTTATCAATAACTGGATGAATTTCTTTATTGACTTGTAAATTTACTTGTCCCCTAACCTGTTCAACTAGATGTGAGCAAGGACTTCTTTTTTTTTCATTGCTATATCCCCAGTGCCTAGAAGAGTCCTGGCACATAGTACATATTAATTAATTAATTTAGAGATTTGGATGACTGGAGCATGGAGCCTACTACACTGTTTTCAGTACAATGAGAGTACATTGAGGGTCTTGTCAGTGGAAATGAAGGGGCAGAAACTAGCACAAGTACAGTCATAGGGAGAACTGTTGGAATTTAACATGGTTTCATGTGTTGAGTCATTGAAGAGGGAAGAGATAGAGAGTTTTGAGCTTGGATGAGCTATTAGGAACCTAGGAGAAATTCCTGGATTTGGTAGGGAAAGGAACTGTTCTAGAGGTATCAAGAGTTTGAGTGCTGGTGGGGTGGAGGTTTCTAACAGCAGCTGGAATGTGAGCTTATCCGAAGTTTCCCATTCCCTGACAGGCATTGCTGCAAAGCAAACAAGGACTATGGGCTCAGAGAATCATAAGGGAAAACCACATACTCTGCTCAACTCTCTGAACCTTAGGTTCTTCATCTGTAACGTGAAAACACCTCATGGCACAGTAGTGTTGGGGAGGAAAATTTTCCTCTATCCTTCAAAGATTCTTCCACCTGGTTTAAAGATTAAATTGACATGAGACTGATTTACAGGAGAAAGTCAAATTTAATTTCATACATACAGGAACTCCTTATACATGAGAGGTTCAAAGGCAAAAAGGTACAATGAGTTATTTATGTCATGCTGAGCTAAGGAATGGGATAGGGGCCTGGGGCTTCAAAGGGGAGGAGGGCAATTCATAGGCAATAAGAACAGATGTTTGGTAATTAGATATTTGCCTTGCCATACAGATGGGTTACTCAGATAAAATTTGTTCCTGGTGATAACTCTAATTCTAGGAAAGACCCCAATTTAGATTCTTCTAGGTAGTTAAGGGTGAGGCAAAAGTTTCTCTTGAGCCCACAGGGTCTCGATTGCCTTCAGCTCAAAATAGTCCACATGCCAAAATGACACATTTTGGGGAGATTTTCTCTGACCCCCTTCAGTGGTTCTGAAAATCAAACTGTAGAACATGAAAGCATGGAACCAAGCCCCGATGCAGGGTAGTTTCTCAATGACTGAATTTCCTGTCTCCTTACCCCTTCTTTAAGAGGCTGAGGATTAAAAAATTTAGTCCAGTTCCACAGTTTAAATTTGTGTTGTTTTTCTTTGCAAGGCAAAACAAGTAAGTGGTTTAAAAAGACAATACCCCCAGACTTAAAACGAAAATGAATGATTCCCTGTTCCAATCCAGTCCCCTCTCCCCCAGCTTCCTCTCCCCTGAGGCTACTACTTTTAACTCTCATAGCTATTTCATTTAGAAGTTATATCTGTAATTCAACATAACACATTTGTACTACTATTCCTTCAGTTTTCAATTTTAGATATTGTTTATATATCGAATTGAGATATCTTCATATTCATACCAGGAAAGGCAAGATTTAATTCCCCTATATTTCCAACCCCAAACCTACACATATTACATGTACCATTCCTCCTCTTAATGTATTATGTCCCCCTCCCTTTTTTTTTTTAGTTCATCAGTATTGTGAGTTTATATTTTTGGCTCCAGCTATTGACATCTGCACTACATAGTGTACTGTGGTTCTATTTCCTTTCTTACACAAATTATTATTTTTTTTCTGCAGTTAATACTTGCCTCATTATTGTTTAGGTTTCTTTTTTTTTTTTTATACCAGTCACTCTTGATTGTCAAACTTCCCTCAAAATCTGAAACATTTCCTCTTAATAATTTCAAACCCAACATATATTCTGTAAGTTTGATTTATTTTCCCTTTGGAAATATCTTTCCAGCCTCCTCTGGCTTCCTGTTTCAATTTGGACTGTCCACTTTCTAAGCCTGCTGCATAGCTGCATGCCATCTTGGAATCTTTTTCTGTTCTCTTGTTTTGGATCCCCTGTTTCCAGATCTCATTTTTTTTTCTCATTATGTGCCCTATTCCTTCACTTTGCCAAGGCACGTTCATCCTACAGCTTTCTGAGAAGGTACCTGGGAGGTAAATTCTTTGAGACTTTGTAGAGCTTTATTCTGTTTTCACACTTGACTGACATTTTGGCCTAGTATAGAATTCTAGGTTGGAAATAATTTTCCTTTAGCATTTTGAAGAAGGTGCCTTCTAATCTTCTACTTACCAGTGTTATGTTGAGAATTTTGATGCTGTTATGATACCCTTGCTTTCCATGTGACTTTTTTCCCCCCACTTGAGAGTTTTTAGACTTTTCTCTTTTTCTTCAATATTTTGATATTTCAGTGATGTACCTCCATGGCACTTTTTTTTTTTTTTTCATGAGTTGTTCTGGGAGGTTGATGAGCCTTTTTAGTCCAAGCACTTACCTTTCAATTCTTGGAAATGTTTTTGAATTCTTTCTTTGAAATTTCATTTCCTCTATGCTCTTTTTCTGAAACTCCTAGTATTCAGATATTGGACCTTCTGGCCGGTTCTTCTGATTTCTCTCTCTCTCTCTTTTTTTCTTTTCTTTTCTTTTGCTCAATGCATTTGCCTAAGTTCTCTCTGTGTTGCTTTTTAGTTTTGGTCTCTGTCTTTTCTAGAGGCCTAACTGAAACCACTAGTGATCCTAGGTAGTCTATACTTTTTAACAGTTAAATACCAAAAAGCTGAACTGTGAAAACCTTCTGAATGAGTCATACTTGTCATCTGGAAGCTCTTACCGTAAGGCAAAATTTTTAGGGTCTCTCAGATAGGTCTTTATTCCTGAGCTGGTTGTGTGGCTGGAAGGGAGTTATCCAGTCTTTTGTTTGGAGGATATCAGCCTGACTTCTTGTATCCTGGGAGCCTCTGGGTAAAGGAGTTGGTTATTTCACTGTTTAGCATTAAGACTTCCACTTCCACATCCTATATTCACTGTGGAGCCTCTCTCCTGCCCTATGCTGAGTCTGATGCCCCCAAGACTCAAGTCCCTCTGGTTCATCCTCTCTAAAGAGTAAATATCCTGGCATCTCCTGGGTTAGGAAGAAGTAACTTCCTCTCTATGCAGGAATCTGGGGCTTTAGATCAGGGGTTGGCAAACTATTTCTGAAAGGACCAGAAAGTAAAGATTTTAGACTTTTTGGGCTACATCATGGTCTCTATCACATATTCTTCTCCTTCTCGTCCTTTTTTTTTTTTTTAAGATTTTATTTAGTTACTTGACAGAGAGAGACACAGAGAGAGAGAGAGGGAACACAGGCAGGGGGTGTGGGAGAGGGAGAAGCAGGCTTCCTGATGTGGGACTTGATCCCAGGACCCTGGGATCATGACCTGAGCCGAAGGCAGACACTGATAAGGGTGTCTTATCAGACTGAGCCACCAAGGTGTCCCTCGTTCCTTTTTCTTTTTTTTAAATAACCCTTTAAATTGTAAAATAAACACACATCTCTTGTAGACAGTACCAAAACAGGTTGTAGACCAGATAAGTCATAGCTTACTGACACCTGGTGTAGAGGGTCCTTTTGGACACTCTAAACCAGCCATCTTCATTTCAGCCCCACCCCATATCCCTGCCTTCAGAGAAACTGGAGGCTTCCAATTTCCAATTCTTTTTGGGTTTCATGACAAAACTGGGTGATTTCTTATAGGTGACCTCCCCAATTTCAACCCTGTCCCACCATGAAAGCTTAGATTTCAGCTTCTGTGGTCCCACTAGGTGAGCCAACTAATGTCCATCTTCTTTTCATTTTCTAAAAGGTCAGTTTTTTTCTCGTTTGCCTTTCTCTCTGTCCTCATTGGGCCATTCCTTTGGAAGGAGTGGAGATAAATATATGTGTTTAATCAACTAAGTTTAACCAGAAGCTTCCCCAAATCCAATTTGGTTGGTTTTTATTTTTATTACTTTCTTTGATAGTGCTTGGGTTAATTTGCATTTGTTCTCCACGTGCTTACTTGCTATGCCAGATGTTTGAAGAAGATGTCCTTGGGGAGGAAAAATGAGGGGTTTTAAAATGTAGTGTTCTTGAAATGCTCACAATGGTTCAGTGTGTGAGATCCCAAAGAGGCCTGGTTGTTTCTAACCACCAGACTCTTATAATAGAAATACAGTTTCACCCTTATTTGTGTAAACCATCAGGATCATTTTTAAATGTTTGTAATAAAGTTTGTGGCTTATTGTTTAAAATTGAATTTAAGGTAGTAAATCAAAGCTTTTGGTGGCATGCCCCTGACAGCAGGGAGAGCCTGGTAAGTGATCCCTAAGAGCTGATCAAAGAGACTTGCTGAGCATTTTTTCCTGTATTTGTGTTTTGGTCCTTTAATCTGGTAGTGTTTCCAATTCCATTCAGAATACTGTAATGCACACTCCACCCCCACTCAAGTCTTTTTGGCAGCATCTGGGATTGTCTTTGCCAAATGGCCCCTCTTTGGGCATAGGCCTGTGTTTGCCATCAGGCCTATACAAGGCATGAACAATGGTGGTTGTCAGAAAATGGGCATCTTTCAAGATTTATTCATACCACATTTTTGTTCTTATAATCAAATGAAAATTGAAAATGAAAAAGGGAAAATTCACTGAAAAATGACCATTTGCCTTTCCTGCCTAGGTTCACCTTTCCTGGCCAGTGAAGATGGTGTGCTTGGAGGAGTGATTGTTCTCCGAACTTGCAGGTGTTCTGCAGAGTCTGACTCCTCCCAAGATAAGCAGACACTTCTAGGTAAGCTGGACATATACCTTAGGTGTGTGTCTTTCTCTTTCATTTTTTTCAAGACACGGAAAGATTTATGTCCATAAGTTAATAATGTTAAGCTGTGGGAAGGCCAGAATGCTTTATTGATATCTACACATGTCTATTCTACTGATCTTTTTGCATAAGTAAACATGTAAAAGTTGAATATTCATTTTTAAGTGTATGCTTAAAGCATATTTTTCAAATGGGCTTAGAACCTAGGACCTTTACTAAAGCCCCAATATTAAGAACATTGGACCATGTATTTGTTCCCTGCCTAGTTCCACAAAGCATGGAGATAACCCATAACAACATACACAGTAACAAACATAGAAAGAAGCTTCTTCCTGTTTCCCCTCCCAAAACAGAATCAGAACCATGTGAAGAGCTACTGGCCTCGGAGTCTGTTCTGGCTCCATCGCTTATTAGCTATGACGCCTTTGTGCATCAGTCTTACTGTTCTGTGCCACTTCCTCTTTTGTAAAATAAGGACATCTGCCCTGCCCTCATAAAGCTGTGGTGAAGAAAGGTCAAGTGAGTGTTTTGCAGATTTGCAGATGTCCATCCAGATGTGCGGTTTTGTGTCTAGCCAAGTGTACCACTGGGGTTAAAAACCAGCCAGTCCTCCACAAACCTGTGGGACTCCCTCTGCCCACAGGGATGCCTTTTTCTAATCCATTTATCCAGAGGGCACATTTAAAAAAAATCTGCATAAAGGTACTGCATAAGCTAGGAGGGGGCCTTATGTGTTATTTTTTAATTGACTTTTTAAATAATTATATATACATTCAGGAAAGTACACAAATTATAATTGCAGCTACTTGATAAATCATTATAAACTGAACCCACTCATGCAAGCAGATAAAAAGTAGAACTTTACCACAACCCCCAAAACCCCTGGTAACCCACCCCCATTCTTTACCCCTCCAAAGTGAACCACTATGCTGACTTCTAACACCATGATTAGTTTCGCTGGGGTTTATAATTTATATAAATGGAATCACAGAGTATGTACTACATGTATCTGATGTGCATGTTACATGTGGCAGTAGTTTGTTATTTTCATTGCTGTGTGGTATTCCATTATACAGATATACCACTTTGTATTTATCCATTCTTCCCTAAGTTTTTTTTTTTTTTTTTTTTTAATATAACTGTTGTAGATCATCCACAGGAACTGTGGTAGTTCAACCCTTTCTATAAATTTTCTTACAGAAGGTGTGGGTGGTGCCTGATCTATATTGTATGATTGTTGTGAATTGGTGTAGTACAAGTGAGTCTGTAAATTAGAAAAGCAAGCCTTTCTTATGAGGGTACAAAAGTATTTTTTCTACAGAAGCTGAAAGAGCTTTCATAAAGTTTTCCCCCTAATTCCTCAAAGGGGAAAAAAAATGCACTTTGGATTCTGACTACTAACCTCATATATATATATTTTTTTCCTTTTCTCTTTCCACCTAGTATACTTGGTACCCAGGTTGCTCCCAGGAAATGTAGTTTTAAATGGCTCTCTTTTATTAAACCAAGGCAAATTAGCCATTTGCTTTTTTGGTATCTTAATCATTGTTGAATCCTTTGAAGAAATCTTCCATGGTTGGATAGAAGGGAGTTTGTAGGAGGATGTACCTGGGCCTTCCATTAAAACTCAGAATAACCCTTAGTACTGGGGGCCGGACGGGGGTAGTTACTAAAACTGCTTCATAGACTGTTCCTAGGTTGGAGTATCAGTTCTTTACTGAGCCTGGATTCTTGCCCATTAGACTTAATCCTGAAAATTATAAGGTTTTTTGGTTGTCGTTTTATTTTTGGTGGTGTAGTATAGAAATGCATATTTAAGGATAAATCATAGCATTTTTGCTCATCTTAGTTTTTATCACCAAGGTAGTAATTTGTAAACTAATTCCTACTCTCTGTTTCAAAAAGAAGAATGAAATGTAAAGTGTGAATTTCTAAAATAAGTAAAATCTTGTCATTTGTTAAACCTAACTAGAGGAATTAATGTTTGTGAAGTTTATCTTCTAAAACCTGGTGAACATAGGCTAGTATCAACTTATAGATGATACCAACCACATGAATTTTTACATTTGTTCAAAAGAGTAATGTATGTATAGAAGGATAGGAAAGGGGATGTGAAAGTCACCATGGTCACCTCAGTCCCAGAGCCACCAGTCTCTGGTTCTGGTTATTCTTGTTGGAAACACCTGTACTCTATAGAATATGTTCATGCTTCTATTTCTTGATTGGTCAGTAGTTTGTGGCTCCTTTTTGGGGAAAAAAAAATTAAGAATGTAGTTCACATCACTTTCCGCTCCCTTTTCCTCCTGACTTTGTTAGACTTCTACTCTAACTTGAAATCATAAATTTTAATTTTATTGCAACTGTAACATACTATTTCTTAATTTATTTCTTGATTCCTCAACTTTATACAGTCTCTCAACCATACCTCACGCCTTTGACTATGTAAGTTCAGGAAAGTTCATGTGTTCTTTCTTCTTTCTTTTTTACTCCCAACCCTCACCTCAATCTCTAGCAATGCTGCGATGGTTATTAACATCCACATTCTGTCCTATAGCTAACTTGTCTTCTACACTTTGATTAGAGGTTCTGAACAGTGATAGTTAGTAACCAGCATTGGCAGTACCAAGACTGTATAAATATTACTCACTGCAGATCCCAGTAGTGGAAGATTGGACTCATAAGTGTCTGTCATAAACCTCTGCCTGTAAAAGGAGAATATTTCAAACATCAAGGTCAAGTGGATTCTCCCATGCTATACCCTATCAGTTGCTCCAAAGCAGGCCACAACTTAATTTGCTTTATGTTTGGACCATGACTTCTTATATTGCCTTATAAAACCCTCATGAGAGTTTAACTTCATAAACTCATGGCTCTGTAATGCTTAGTAATATCTAGTAACCAGGAGAGCTCAGAAGTCTTTCTTCTGTACAATCCAAATAAAACAATTCCCAAAATGAAAAAAAAAAAAAAAAAAAAAAAAACCCCAAGAACTGGATTACTATATATTGGTCAATCATTTTCCCCCCCAAAGAATAGTATAATTAAAACAGTCTCTAACTTAAGCTTTTTCTGTGTCCACTCTCTTTTCTGAAAATCATAAGTAGTGTTTCCATAACACCACAAGAGCAGTTTCAATCAAACCCCATTGTCACTTGGTGGAGTTTCCAGAAACCCATTACTGAACCTCTCCTCTTGACAAATATATCAATTACAAGAGCCCCAGTGGGGCCACTTCAAGGGTGGGATGACTCAAGTACAGGACACTTTCAAGGTTTGTCCTCTGTTTACTGATTCATGAGTAGAATTGGTAAATCTCAGGTATGAAGGAATATTCAAAATCCTCTTGTGTGACCCTGTTACATGTGCTTTATCCATAAATTATTTGCAAGAGATGGAGCTTAATTCCTCTCCCTGAGACTCTCTTACAAGGCATAAGAATATGGCAGTGTGATAGTGTGTGACTTCTGAGGCTAGATCAAAAAAGGCATTGTGACATCCTTCTTGCTTTCTCACTCTCAGAAAGACCAACTGCCATGTATAGACAGGCAACACTGTGGAGAGGTCCACATGGCAAAGAACTCTGACCTCCTTCCAAAAGCCAGCAAGACACTGGGGCTTCTTGCTAATAGCCTCAGCTCTGAATGAACTTTCAGATGACTGCAGCAGCCTTGCACAGATTTCTTGACTGAATCTCATGAGGGAGTGTGTAAGTGAGCGAGAATCACCTAACAAAGCCACTCCTGAATTCCTAACCCACAGAAATTGAGATAGTAAATGTTTGTTGTTTTAAACCACTACATTTTGGGGTAATTTATGCCAAAATAGATGACTAACAAACCTTCTAAATCCTCTCACTGCCAAATGAGCCTCTAGTTTGTCTAAAGAGCTACAGTAACAAATCAAGGTGCTCTCTTGCATCTTTAGGCAGCTGAGACTATCAGATTGCATCAGTGGATCTTGGTTTTCTTCTTTGGGATCCTCTGAGACAAATGGGATCAGTGTCCTCCTACTTTATAGTCCCTGGTCACTCTTTTCTAGACTATCTTGTTAGCTGCTCTGACTCTATTCCTATCCCACCTCCATACAGTTACCAGACTTTTCTCTCGCTGTTCCAGAGAACCTAACCATGGGCTCAGAAATGGGCAGTCAGGAGAGAAGCAGGCTGCCCTGAAGCAGAAAGGGCAAAAATGAGAACCTGATCTAATAATGGTGGCTTAGAGAGACCAATCCCAGGCTCAGAGGGATAGTGGTCAAAAGAAGGGCCACATAAGTATATGTAATTAGTTTACTATATGTCTAAGCTAAATGTTGAATAACTTTGTGTGTTAAAGTAAAGTCAAAACCTGTGTCTCTTACTATCACTCCCTGCTTTCAATTTTTCTGTGAGGATGCATCCATACTCCTGCCTCTGCTGGTCATTTCCCTAGAAGACAGATGGGAACTACTTAACTTGATGGGAAAGTCCTCCCCTGATCTAACCCCGGAACATGCTTTCATTGTCATTTCCAATTAGTCCTTTCCCTCTACACAGCCTCAGCGCCCCCAGTTCTGGGCACTCCAGATTGCTTGGTCTTCCAGAGGGTCCTGTTTTTTCCCCAATAACTTTCACATGCTTTTACCTGTGCTTGGAATGCCTTGGGCCAGTTACATTCCTTCTTTAAAGACCCAGGACAGATAAGAATCTTCTTAGAATCCTTTGGAAACCTTTTTCCCCAGGTAATTTGTTCTTTCCTTGTGCTTTTTTTTTTTTTTTTGCAACATACAATTGGCATCCCTTGTAACACTCGCCATGATGTGTTAGAGTGTCTATCCCTCCCTCTAGGCCAGCACCTCTTAAGTTTTTTTTCTGAGCCCACTTATTTGAAAGGAATAGATCACAGATCTCTGAGCCCCAGTGATTCACATGGAGGATCCAGGGATTTAAAATATCTTTCCAAGTGCTAGAAGATTCCACTACCTCTGAGAATCACACCACCAGATTGTGAACCATTTGAGGGCAAGGACTGTGTCATATCCAATCTTGTACCCACCCTCCATAGTAGGCTCCACTGATTATTAAATAAACGAATTAAGTGTCAAATAGAATTTCCTTATTGATTTTTTAGCAGAAATTTTAAATTGACACTCTTCCAGAAAAATGAAATGTCACATAAAGTATCCTTACATGCTCTAAAAACAATCCAAAACAGTATGGCTCGGAAATGTTGGATAATGACAAGTGTCTGGGAACAAGAAGATTTGGAGACAGTCAAAAATGGATCACAGAAGATAACCTCTGCAAACAGCCTTGTAAAAAGGACAGTTTGGATGTAAATGTGTTTGCAACACCCATCCCTCCACCTCCCACTCCCCAGATCATGAAATGCTGGCAAAGCCCAGCCTACAAATCGCTGCTTTAACACAAAGCAAATGCTTCTTCCTGGAGTGAAACAGCTGAAAAGAATTAATTTTCTCTGCTTTTAGAGAAAAAAAAAAAAAAACCCAATATATATTTTACCTGCTAAAGTACAATTACATGTGCTTTCCAGGCCTGTACAGAAGAGCTTTATTGAGGCTGCTGTATACAGTATGGCTAATAATTGTGTAAACAGAGGCACATCAAGCCTTCCAGTGGGAAAAAAATGAGTCTTTTTCTGTTTTAAACTTGTGATTTGACACAAGTAATTAGAATAGATACAAATACATGGCATAAATAGCCAATCTCACTATATGGGTGCATTTCTCTCCTTATAGCTTGCCCTCACTGTACTGGTGGGAGCCTGACAGACTTTGTGAAGTTCAGGGGTCCCTCCCTTAGAACGGTTACTAGGAAGCAGTGAATATGGGGATCAATGAGAAACAGACTCCATATAGTTAAGGAAAATCTTAAGCAATTCAGGATAGGAGGCATAGGGGCTCCTAGGGGCAAAAAGACTGTGTGTTTGGCCAGTGACCTCTGTGCCACTGTTGGGAGTCCTTCATCCTAAATAGATTTGAGGCACTCAGTTCAGCCAGAGCCTGATCATCTGATGAACACATATGGTAACTGTTACTCCCCCATTAAGCTAGCCTCACCTTACGCAGAGAATAACTCCAGGTTCCTTACTATCCAGGAATATGTTCGTTATGCTGATAATTAAGTGTTGTACATGATATTGCTTCTAATTGTCCAGCTACCCCTTCTTTCCCTGTTTTTCATCTTAACTATGGAATGTTTCATATATTTTTAAAGGAATGTAATAAATTTGTAAGTTATAAAGGATAATAATAAAATGAACACCTGCGGACCTGCCACCCCGCTTACGAAATTGTCCATTACCCGTCTCTTTGAAGCCCCCGTGTGGGCCTGACTTTATATAAACGGTAGGATAAATGGTATGTCATATGATTTCTTCTGTGAGAATCTTTGCAGTTTCTTACGTAATTACTTGAAAGAATAATGAATCCTTCCATCATTTTAGACTTAGCTCTCTCAAATTAAATAGTTTTTCACTTGCCAATTAGAACTTAAATGTGGCATTCCCTCCCCTCCTTTGCAGAACAGGCAAAGTTCTTTATCAAGTACTCTTTTTGTCACTGTTACCAAAACATGCTATGGTTTAAAAATAAAAAATGTTAGATTGAGTTGATGCTTCCTGGAACATTAAAAAGATAAAAGGTCATTTTACTGTAAGTTAAAATTCCAAACCGCCTTTTGGTTTTACTGGCATTAAAAATTTGGCGAGCACACATAAACACATGCACTTCAAAGGAGCTTCATTCTGGGGGCCCCAGCAGTATCACTGATTTCCATTTCATGGCACATGCCACCATGAGCACTTATGACTAGGCATTCTGTTGGGCTCACATGATCATAAAAATAAGTCTCAGAGAGAAGGCAAATTAGCTATTAGGCTGGTAGTGGGAAAAGAGGTACTGATGGATGCTTATCTGATGTTAATAACTTGTCTTAGAAATATAACTAAAACTTTGTTCTATAAGAGGGTCCAGTGTCATGGTTGGAAGCTTTTTTCTTTTTCTTTTTTAAATTTTAAGTTCCAGTTAGTTAGCATACACTGTAATATTAGTTTCAGGTGTACAATTTAGTGATTCAACACTTCCATATAACACCTAGGGAAGTGGGTAGAAGCTTATTTCTTTAGTGCCCCAGCAATGCTTTGGAATTGATACATATTCACTGTAGTCTTAGGATAGAGGGTGACATTTTGGTTCTTATTTAAGGATAAGATGGAAGGATGCAAATTAAGTAGTTATTCATAAATGCAAAGTAAATAGGCAGACATATTTAAACTTTTCAGCAACAGAGCTGCATTGATTTATTGAGGTAGTGCTCTGAGATTTATATTTTTTAGAACTGTCATTTTTAAAATAAAAAGTTGTTGATTACATATAGCTATAATCTGCTTTGTTTGCTTTATAAAAACTTTTTTCCCCTTAAATATCACTAATGTACTTTTTAAAAATTAGAAATGGATGTTTATCTGAATTTTTTTTTCTCCATCATAAGAAGTGTAGTACTAGCTGTAATCTAACCATGTAGTACTTTTTTTTTTTGGCCACAAAATTTTCCATTTGATATAAAGAATACAAAGATTTATGAATAGAATTCTAGTGATTATGTAATTCTTATTACTGTGGTTCTCCTAAAACTCTCAGAAAAATATTTTGACAAATTTTATAGTCAGTTTTCATCTGCTCAAATGGTAATAGAGATCACTCTAACATGAAATAAATCCTAAATATTTGTTGAATGAATGAAATCATGTTTCAATAAAACTTGTTTCACTGAATGCTTTTCTGTTCAGCAGAGAACTTCCATGTTGCAGCCAGTGGCCCTTATTTCCAGTTTCTAATACAATAAAATGATAAAAGGGGTGCCTGGGTGGGTCAGTCGGTTAAGTGTCCGACTCTTGATTTCGGCTCAGATCATGATCTCGGGGTCGTGGGATTGAGCCTTGAGTTGGGCTCTGCCAGCGGGGAGTCTGCTTGAGATTCTCTCTCTCCCTCTCCCTCTTCCCCTCCCCCCGCTCATGCTCTTTCTCTCTCAATAAATAAATCTAAAAATAAATAAATAAAATGATTTAAAAAAGGAAACGAATCAAATTGTCCTTTGAGGCTTATATTACTATTTGACTGACATTCTTCTCTTCCTTTTCAGTCAGCATCCTTTAGTCTTGAACAAATCAGAGTGAGCCTTGGAAAGAGAAAATAGTTATTTTCTTGGCTTAGTATAAACGGGGCTCTATAGAACTTCAATCCCATCCCTCCTAAAGCAGTTCAGTGGTGAAAGTTTTTCAGAGAGGTGAGCCAACTCAGAGCTACTTAATGGCAGACAAGATATGAATCATAAAGATTCCATGTCAGGACAGTAAAGTATCCCTGTATGAACCCCATTCTGGGTTATAAGGAACCTAACAACCAGGAGGGAAAATCTACAGAGATAAGAGGAGGCTCTTCTGTTTACAGTTCCTCATTCTTCCCATTTTAAAAATGAGCTTATCTTTATTAAGATGTAACTTAAAGCACTGTGCAAAATGTCTGAGGATAAGCCATTCCACCTAAGTCTAAGGAGCAGCAGCTGACTTGGCAACTGTCCGGTCCAAGACGGTTCTGATTTTAAAGTTCTGTTTTCCTTGCAAGAAGTCTGGGATGTGAAGCCAGGCAGAGGGGTTTTAAATGGGTACGGGAGCCAGTGCAGCTGGGGGTTGTTAACAACAATTAGAGAACTTGGAGAACAACAATTTTTTTTTTTTTTTTTTAAGGGGTGGCTGAGAACTTCTCTCTGGCTAGAAAAGAGAATCCATTTGGTAGAGAAAACTTGCTTGCAACCCTAGTAAAGAAATTTTGTTTGCTTAAACAGAATGACCTGTGAATCGTTTTGAAAGAGAAAGAGGTATCCTGGGGGGGGGGGAGCATTTTGCAAGGGGGGGGGCTTGTAGCTCTAATATTAACTAGTGAAGGTGGTAATTTAAGTGTCACTAGGAGTCAAAGCCTTGCATAGGGGCTAAAGGCTGTCTCATATAGTGGAAGGACATTAAAACTAAAGTAGAACCACTCTTGTGCATTATACTTGTGCGTGTATTTATTTATTCCAATGCATTAAATGCAGCTTTCCAGAAAAGCTAGCCTCTAAGATTATGTGCAAATCCATTTCAGATGTGCCTGTAATAGCATTAACCTGTAATCCTTTTTTTAAAAAAGATTTTTATTATTTATTTATTTGAGAGAGAGTGAGAGACAGCAGGGAGAGGAGTAGAGGGAGAGGGACAAGCAGACTCTGTGCTGAGTGCAGAGCCCGATGTGGGGCTTGATTTTACAAACCTGAGATTGTGACCTGAGCCGAAAGCAAGAGTCGGATGTTCAACTGACTGAGTCACCCAGGAGCCCCTAACATGTCATTCTTGAAGAGCACAGGCACAGCACATCCCACCTAACCCATTCTCTGGCACTGGAACAGGATCTGTACTGTTGGCCTTTTTTCACATCACGCTTATGTGATATGATGTACTGTCAAGTCACTTGGTAAAGAAGAAGCTTGCCAAATCCCTGTGACCATCTTTTACATGTTAATCTATTTTAGCCTGGCTTTGGGTATTCTTAAAGGTCTTTTCATGGCCTGGTCATTTTCAGTAGCCTCACAATGGCTTTTTCTTTTTCTTTCTTTCTTTTCTTTCTTTCTTTCTTTCTTTCTTTCTTTCTTTCTTTCTTTCTTTCTTTCTTTCTTTCTTTCTTTCTTCTTTCTCTTTCTCTTTCTCTCTTTCTCTTTCTCTTTCTCTCTTTCTTTCTTTCATATTTATTTATTTATTTATTTGAGAGAGAGTGTGTGTGTGTGATTGGAGGGAGGGGCAGAGGGAGAGAGAATCTTGAGCATACTCCCTGCTGAGCACAGAGCCCGACTCACGGCTCGATCCCAGGACCCTGGGATCATAACCTGAGCAGAAACCAAGAGTTGCGTGCTCAACTGACGGAGCCACTCAGGTGCCCCTTGGGCTTTGGCTTTCTAAAAAACAGTAGGCTTTTCAAATTAGTAATTGAGATGTAAACAGTAATCAGCCACTGGCAAAGAAACAGGGCACTTTCCCACACTCAGATATGTCATTCCAGGCCATTCATTTATCCTATATGTTGCTTCAGTTCATGATTCTCTACATGGAATAATTATACATGGAAAAGTCCCAGTACTATGATATAACATCTGCCCAGTTAGCTGTATTATTAGAATCATTTCTTAATACTCTTCCCATAAATTTCCATTTTAGGTGTATTAAACAATTTCAAATTTAGTCCCTAAAAATCAAGAAACAAATTATAGACTTCTAGATATTACTCATGGTAAGAAATGCTATTCATATTATTTTTTGCCTCTATGTAACTGTATTTGAACTAATTTTGTACTACCCTTTACCAGGTTTTAATTATAAATTAGGACTTAATTAGACAGTTATAAAAGTTTGTGATATAAACTGCCCTTGAGACAATAAATGTTTTCTACTTATTTTTTTTTTAAGATTTTATTTATTTGACAGAGAGATAGCGAGAGAGGGAACACAAGCAGGGGGAGTGGGAGAGGGAGAAGCAGGCTTCCCACTAAGCAGGGAGCTCGATGCAGGGCTCAATCCCAGGACCCTGGGATCATGACCTGAGCCGAAGGCAGACCCTTAATGACTGAGCCACCCAGGCGCCCCGTGTTTTCTACTGATTTTTTAAAGCTTGTAGTGGTTTTGAAATTTTTAAATTTCTAACAGGAATAAATTTTTGTTTTGTTTGTTTTAATTGCTCTTTAAACATAACAGGTTTTGCCCTAAATATATATGCCCAGTGTAAATTTATGTAGGGACTTATTCATGGTCCTTCATAAGATTTAGTCATATTTTAGATAGTCATGAGACATGAAACAATTTGAAAGCATTAGATCATTTCACATCATAATAAGCACTCTTATGAAGGATAATTAAAATATATGGTAACATCTCATTACATCAAATTTCAGAAATTCAGAATGTCATAATCTAAATAAGGAAGAAATTCTTAATAGATAACATAGATTAATAGGGTAATTGAGATTCCTAGGGGCATTTTTAAAAAATAGGAAATAAACCAGAATAGGACAAAATTCAGAAGTTTCAGGAAAGGATATATGGTAAAAAATAGGTAGCCTTCCATTAAACTCCTTTAACCAAACAGTTCTCTTTATAATAGCAACTACTGTTGCCGGTTCCTAAAATATTCTTCCAGAGAGATCCCATGTATTTACATATTCATCCATGGTCCCCTTTTATTTTCTTCCACAAAAATGGCAGCACTATCTCTATATCATTGTCTACCTTGCCTTTTATTTTAGATAAACTATCTATCTTGTAAATAAGTATTTTTTCAAACAAAAGCATGTCATATTAATGAGGCCTAAAGTCAATTTAGTGAGTCAGAGGCAGAATCTTTTAAATGTGGTGGATAGAATATAAAGAACCCAGTAGTATAAACCAATGCATGGTAAGTAAAAGGGTAGGTATTATTTTGTGAAATTTCATTTATAAAGACATGTATATACTAAGTGACAACATGTGGGACTTTTTAATTTTTTTTTGTTAATATTGTGATTCATGGTCAGAAAGTTTCAAAAATACTCAGTGTAGATGGTTCCATACCTCCTATGTAGAGCTTCTTCCTTTGTTTTTAATTGTTGCATAGTATTCCACTATATGGAGTACCATGGTTATTTATATATACTCCCACCAATAGGCAACTGAGCTACTTCCAGTTTCTTCCTAATTAAAACTACTTCAATGAGTATCTTTGTAAATATGTTATTTCATACATATAAAGGCATATCTATAGAATAATTACCTAGAAGTAGAATTACTAGGTCAAAGACTATGTCATTTTAATAACTACAGTCAGTCCTCAATATTTGCAGATTTCATATTTGCTCATTTTCCTACTTGCTGAAACTTATTTGTAATTTCAAAATCAGTACTCCTGACACTTTCACAGTCATTTGTAGGCACATGCAGAGTGGTAAAGAATTTGAGTCACCTGACATGCACATTCCCAGCTGAGGTGAGCAGGGTGAATCTTTGCCTTCATGTCTCAGCATCCTCTTTGTAGCTTGTTTAATGACATGTTTTTTACATTTTTGTGCCTCTGCTGATGATTTCACTGTTTAAAATGGCCCTGAAGCAGCTCAGCAACACCATTAAGTATAATAACATTCATGTTATTGGGATCCCAGAAGAAGAGAAAGAAGAGGGGACAGAAAATTTATTTGAAAAAATAATAGCTGAAAAGTTCCCAAATCTAGGGAAGGAAACAGAAATCCAGATCTAGGATGTACAGAGATTCTCCCCAACAAAATCAACCTAGGGAGGTCCACACCAAGACATACAGTAATTAAGATGGCAAAAAGTAGTGATAAAGTGAGAATTTTAAAAGCAGCAAGAGAGAAAAAAGCAGTTACATACAAGGGAAACCTCCATTGAGGCTATCAGCTGATTTTTCAATAGAAACTTTACAGGCCAGAAAGGAGTAGCATGACATATTCAAAGTACTGAAAGGAAACAGTCTACAGCCAAGAATACTCTTCAGCAAGGCTATCATTCAGAACAGGAGAGATAAGGAGTATCCCAGACAAACAAAAGTTAAAGGAGTTCATGACTACTAAACCAGTCCTACAAGAAATGTTATAGGGGGACTCTTTGAGTTGAAAGGAAAGACCATAAACAAGAGTAAGAAAAGTAGGAAGCACAAATGCCGTAAAAATAAGTATATCTATAAAAATCAGTCAAGGGA